TTATACGGTCCGTTGTATTGGATTTGGTCCGAGTTTATGGGTGATCAGAACCGGTCCGTTTTAAAACCCCTTAAGGTCAATCCGTTTATAAGGCAAGTTTAATCCAGACCTTTGAATGTCTTTGTTTTAAAAATTAGTAAGTTAAACTCCTGCACATTAACTATTCATTAAACAGATTTTTTAAGTAATGTTTTTTTTCCAAATAAAGAAGTGATAATTTCTTTCCGCATCTTTTTTCAAAAAAAATCAAGGTTTTTGTTCATTGTCCAAAGGTACTAAGTATTGGAAACATCCCTGGAGGCGGACCCTGTGGTCATGAGAGGAACACCAGAATCCTACAATCACCCCTCCCCAAATGGAACCAGCCTCATTGTTCTTCTTTATGGACTGAACCAAAGCAGGTGGCGGGGGGGGGGAGAAACAATGGGGCCGGAGTAACGGAGGGAGGGAGGTGCTGATCCATCTGCTGCTGTGAGGAACTGCTTGATTCACCGCTGAGGAACCAGAACACACACCTGGACCCGACCGGACCGGAACCGGAGCGGAGCCGGACCGACTGTGGTTCTGTCTTTGTTTGAAGATGTCCGCTTTGTTTGCGATGGTCCTGCTGCTGATGGTGACCTGGGCCTGCATCTCCTCCTGCGGAGCCTCAGTGGTACGCGGAGGGCGGCCCGTACCGGCGGTTGGCGGTCAGGGCCTTCGGCGGTCTCTGGGCGTCGGTCGGTCGGCATGGTTCTGGTGGAGGAGCAGCGGACTGGGTCTGTGATAAACGTCTGCAGTCCTTTTTTGCTCCATATTGAAAGATCTGCTCGTTTGCGATGGCTCAACGAATGGACCGGTCCGTTTTGTTGGGATAAACCTAGTTGTAGGATTGAACCGTCCATTTGTATGGCCATCAAGGGCCAGTTTTGGGCTCAGAACCGTCCGTTAGTATGGGTATAGAACCGGTTTTTGTATGGATTGGTCAGTTAGTATGGGTTAAACGGTCTTAGTGGATATCGAACCTGTCTGTTGATTCTTAGTATGGGTGATCAGAACCGTCTTTATATGGGATTCAACGTCCGTTAGTATGGAATCGGTCCGTTTAGTATGGGATGTCCATGTTGGTTTTAAACTGGTTAGTTGATGTTGTATGGTGTAGAACGGTCCCTTAGTATGGAATGAGTTAGTATGGGATGATCAAACGGTTCAGTTTATGGTCTGAGTTAGTATGGGTATAGAACCGTCGTTATGATATCAGACTTGTCAGTATGTATAACTGGTCCAGTTTTGGGATGATCAACCGTCCAATTAGTATGGATGATCAAATCCTTCCGTTATTGGAAGGTCAAGATGGTTTATAAAGTCATAGACGGTTCATAATGGTCCTGATGAACCTGGTCCCTTAGTATGGGAATGTCAGATTCCGTATATGAACGGTCCGTTAGTAGGGGATCAGAACCGGTTCCGTTAGTATGGACTGTCGAACCGTGCGGGAGATAGAACTAGTTTATCAGACTGGTAAGGTCATCAGTAAGTCAGTTTTAACCAATTTGTAATTCTGTTATAGAATTAACCAATTACCTCTGCTCTAACGTATAAATTGAAAACGATTTTTGATCTATTATTATTCCATTAAACTGCAATTGTCTATTTATTCGATTTTTTGTCCAAAAAATCAATGCGTGAGTTTTCTTCGATTGGTCCAAAAAGTCCATGCGTGGTGACACTAGCCGGGGCGGACCCCCTGCGTCCTAGTGGATAAATCCGGGCGCCCCAGCATGCTGGCCTGCGAGGAACAGCCATTGTTTATCACAAACAAGCATGGTGCTCCGCGTCCAAAACAACGGGCCGAGTAGCTTGGGTGGACCAACAGTGCGGGGAGGAAAACCTGATACGGCCGTGAACGGAGGAGCAGACGATCCATCGTGGCCGTGAGACCGAGTTGAGCGCCATGGGAACCGTCCTTTAGGATGCCGTTAGCGGTCCGTGGCGGATGTCAGGACCGGCTGTCTCCTCTGAGGATGTCGCTTATGTATGCGATGATCGACGGCAGATGGCTGACGGGCCGGTCGGCCTGCAGGACCGGTACCAGCCGTGATGGGACGGTAAGGCTCGGTACCGGGGCATGGATTGGAGGCCACGGCCGGACTGGTCTCTGGTACAGCATGATCGCAGCTCGCTTTATTGGCCACGGATAGGTTAGGATCAAACACTTCCGTCGCCTATTGGTCCATAATGAGGAAGATCCTGTTGTTGATCCGACGGCCGATCAGTACGAATGACAGACCGTAGTTGTATGGGATAAAACGTCCAGTTAGTTGACGTCAAGTAGTTGGTGAGCCATCGAACCGGTCCAGTTAGTATGGGCGTAAACGGTCCGTAGATGAACCGGTCCAGTTAGTTGGATGATCAGAACCGTCCAGTTAGGGGGATCCAGATTCAGAGTTGTGATGGATCCGAATCCAGTTCTTGATGTTTGGTCAAATCCTTTAATTTCCATTGTAAGGTGATTACCGTTCATTTATTGGGAATAAACGTCTTTATTGGATTCATGTTTGGAGCAGCACGGTCGTTTGATCAGCACCGGTGTTCAATGTTATCAGGCAAGTTGATGCGATCCTTGAATGCTTGTGATTGCTAACGGTCAGGGTAAGGCCTCATCATTATAACTTTATGTATGCTTTTTGCCAATTGAGCGCCAGTGCATTTGTCGCAGTGGTCGAAAAATCATGGTCGTTTCTGCATATGAGTCATAGAGGTAAGCCATTGGATACAGCAGCCCTGCAGACCTGGCTGCGGTATGGCTGAACTACCAGGACACCGCAGTAATGGACTCCCCTCCCAATGGTAACCTCTGTTCTCTTAGTGTCCTACACGCGGTGGGGGTAGAAACATGGCGCCTCAGTACGGAAGGGCATCCTGCGCTGTGAGGACAGCTGAACCTCCAAATGGACGAAAACTTCTTCCTTTATTCCAATGCTCTCTGTCAGTAGAAATATTCACACAAACATCTGATCTTTATTTGTCAACGTTTTCACTATATTTTCCTGTTAAAAAAAGCATATCTCAAAACAACAGCAGAATGATGAAAAAGGGGTCCCTATGTCCTCCAGCAGTCTAAGCCTATAGCAGCAGAACTATAGAGATAGATCAGGATAACCTGAGCCACTCTAACTAGAAGCTTTATCAAAAAGGAAAGTTTTAAGCCTAGCCTTAAAAGTAGACAGGGTGTCTGCCTCACGGACTAAAACTGGTAGTTGGTTCCACAGGAGAGGAGCCTGAGAACTAAAAGATCTGCCTCCCATTCTACTTTTAGAAATTCTAGGAACCACTAGTAAACCTGCAGATTGAGAGCGAAGTGCTCTGTTAGGAACATCAGGAACAATCAGATCTCTGATATCAGACGCTATTTGCTGCAGCTTTAAGGCTGGAGGCTGCTTTCCTATCAGCACTGGAGTTTAACTGGAAGGAACCACAACAGGAACTGGGAACAGGAACTCACCTCAGACTTTATTTACGGAGATCATTTAAAAGGGGAGAGGATGATGCTGCAAATGGCCGCCACTCCACCCATGGACCGCTCCTGGTGGTTAGGGCTTAGAGCTGGGAATCCAGAGGTTGTGAGTTCAAAACCCACTTCCACAGACTGCCACTCTGGGTCCATGAGCAAGACCCTTAACCCCACACTGCTCCCCAGCCGCAGCAAGGATTGCTCTTCTCTTGCTTCTCCTAACAGGAGCTATGCTAGCTATGCTATGCTATCAGAGAATATCACTCATGAACAACAGGTCTGAGGATACGTGACCTGTTTATTATTAAATAAACATGAAACAAACATTAGGGTCTAATTGATGGGCTGCAGAGGAAGGAGACCACAGCTGTGGGATCAGGAGGCTGCAGCTGGTCCTTATCTGAGTCAGATGATGAAGACCAGGAGCTTCTCCATCTTGTGACTCCATCCAGGTGCTGGAGGCTGGACCCCTTTGGACTCAGACCGCTACCAGTGGCTGCAGATAGACCTGGGCTCCAGGAAGCAGGTGGTTTCCATAGCAACCCAGGGCCGCTACAGGAGCTCCGATTGGACGAGTCAGTACCAGCTGCTGTACAGTGATACACCCAACAACTGGAGGCCCTACTTGAAGAACGGAAACATTTGGGTAAGAGAGGAACCAGTGGATCTACTGGTTTAGTCCAGTTAGTTTGGAGCTGATCTGATGGTCTGCCTGCTTTCAGACCTTCAGGGGGAATAATAACAGCGAAGAAGTTGTTCGGGAAGAGTTCCAGCATCCCATAGTGGCTCGCTACGTCCGCTTCGTCCCGCTGCACTGGAGCCTGAGGGGGCGAGCTGGAGTCCGTCTGGATCTGTACGGCTGCTCCTACTGTGAGTTCTCATCAGAAATAACCAGAACCATCATCGCTTCGCTGGTTCCTCACTGTCTCTGTTTGTCTTTCAGGGGCTGACGTCATCAGCTTCGATGGCCACAGCATCATCTCCTATCGCTTCAGGAGCAAAAAGATGAAAACTGTGCGGGATGTTATTTCTCTGAAGTTTAAAACCACGGCCAGGGATGGGGTGCTGCTGTATGGGGAGGGACAGCAGGGAGACTTCATTTCCCTGGAGCTCCGCAGGGCTGCGCTGGAGCTGAGCATCAACCTGGGTAGGAGCTTCAAGGACCAGAAGGACCTTCTCCCCTCGCTGATGTTCTCCACTGAGCTGAGTGTTGCTTTTCTGCAGGGAGCAGTCAGTACAATCTGATCGAGGGTCAGACCTCTGTGAGCAGTGGGAGTCTATTGGATGACGGTCACTGGCACTCGGTTGTCATGGAGCGTCACCGTAGAAACATCAACTTCACCCTGGACCACCACACCCATCAGTTCAGGACCAATGGGGAGTTTGAGCACCTGGACCTGGACTATGAGGTAAAGCCTGACTGCTGTTAATCCTCAGGAGCAGATCAGGGATCCATTAGGAATGTCTGGAACATTCCACACAATGCCAGCAGATGGAGCCGGATTTA